CGATCCCTGTCGAATGAAAACCGCAGGCCGCTCGCGTGCGTCGACCGCGCGCGCATGTCGAAATCCTTCCAACATCTTTATCAAAGACACGTGGGCCGTGGGCACCATCATCGCCATCGGCGTGACCACCATCGGCGCCGTCATTGGCCTTGCTGTCGTCATCGTCATCATCGTCACCATCATCGCTACCATCATCATCGTTTCCGCGGCTGTCGACGTCACCATGATACTGCGTCCGCTCGAATCACCGGCTCGAATCTGTGACACCCTCAATAGACTATTGGTACCCCCCTGGCCTATTGATTCCGCCCCCCAGACTGCTGGTCCCCCCCGGAACTATTGGTCCCCCCCCTGGACTATAAGTCCTCCCCCTGACAAGCGGTACCCCCGCCCGACTGTTGCTACCCCCCCTGGACTATTGCGCTCCCCCCGGACGGCCGCCCCATCCACGGCGTCCCCCGCGTTCGGGAGAAGATTTATTATTTGCGCGCGCGATTGCCCGCGCGAGCGTGCGCGAGCGCACGCGCGTGCATGTGCGCGTGCGCGACAGCATGCGCGAATGAAGGCCCCAAACAACTACGGGGAACGCCGGGGCCAACCGGTTCCAGAACCTGCCGGTTTTTCGCAAACCATGAAGGACCCTTCAGGCAGAGCCTACATGAGGACAAAATGCCACATGCCCCCCGCCCCTCCGCCCCTTCTCCCCCCCCTCGCGCCCTCGGGCTACCGCTAGCAGGCCCCTCCCCTCCCGCCCCTTCCCTCCCCTCGTCCCTCCCCCCCCCGACTATTATAGGTTTCCGGTTTCCCCCCCCCGACTGTTGATCCCCCCCCCAGGGCTATTGGCCCCCTCCCCTGGAGTGTTGGTCCCCCCCCGTGGACTGCAGGTGCCTCCCCCGGACTGTAGGTACCCTTCCTGTACTACTGGTCCCCCCCAAACGTATCGGGGGGTTCAGAGAAAGTGCTCGCGCGCCAGCGCGGCCTGTGAGACGCGCTGGGGAGTCCCCATCGGTGCGCGCCACCGCGGCCTCGTCGGTTGCGTCAAACTCACTGGCCGCTGCCTGCTCGAGCATGCGCGCGCCAGCGCGGCCGCAGAGATGCGCCAGCCAGCGCCAAGCAGTCATCGCAATCGCCGCCGCATGGGTTTCGCAAACCAGATTGCGGGGTGGCGGGTGGGATGATTGCGCGAACCCTGGAGTTGACAACTCAATGCTCGTCAAAATCAATTGCACCACACAGATTGCACCACATCTTTTCGCACGACGAAGATGGCACCACTTAGTTTACACCACGTATATTTTGGCACAACATTGTTTGCACAACCTATGCTGCACCACATAAGCTGCAGCGCAGAGGCTGTTCCACACACCACATAGACTGCACCACATAGTTTGCACCACGTCGATGGTACCTCGTAGATGGCACCACAAGCATTGCACCACATAGGCTGCACCACATAGATTGAACCACGTCGATTGCACCAGCTACATTGCGCACCACATCGATTTTTATTCACAAGACAGACTGCACAACGAACATGGAACCACGTAAATTGCACCAAATCGACTGCACCACCTGATTGATCCCCCAAGGCTGCACAATACATCTTTATACATACACATATGTATAAATCTTGCACACCTCACACTGCACAACATGTATGGCACAACAGATTTTGCAACACGTATATTGCCCTACCTAGGTTGATTTAGTTTTCGCAGCACATACTGCTATAATCACACTGGTTGGGGCCGAGGCCATGGCCAGTGCCGCGGCTGCGGAGTGCGCTCGCTGGTAGTGATGCTTCGGTGGAAGTATGACGACATCCGATTCGGAATCATCGTGCGTGCATATGTATCGGCTGCTGAGAGGGCAATGGCGTAGACAACATGCATGCCGAGTGAGGTGCCCAAGATCTATTCATTTCATTCGAGTTCCTTCTCCTCCTCCCCCTTCTAATCCAACTTGTTCTTCCTCCCTCCTCCCTCCTCCCTCTCCTCGTCCCTCCTCCCTCTCCTCCTCCTCCTCCTCCTCCTCCTCCTCCTCCTCCTCCTCCTCCTCCTTCTCTTCCTCCTCCTCCTTCTCCTGCTCCTCCTCGTCCTCCTTTTAGCCGAGGCGCTTGCGGACCCGGCTCGCACTCCCAGGCTGGTCGTCGTCGTCGTCATCCTCCTCCTCATCATCCTCCGTCCCTCTACATTCTGAATAACTCGTCCCTGTCAGACGCCGAGGCCGGTCGAAAGGGCGTGCCAGGCGTTTCGCCCTGTACTTCCTCATCAATCGATGGTCTTAGCTTGAAATGTGCAAGTCTCTTACGGACGACAGGCGGGCCGTTTGCAAAATGTGGCGCTCGCCTCAGCGCCGCGCACCTTCAGTATAAAAACTGCAGAGGTATCATGGATGGAAGGCGGGCCGTTTTCAATACGTGACTCTCGCCTTCGCACTGCGCACATTCGTCTTCAAGGTTTGCGAGAGCTTCACGGATGGAGGGTGGTTCCCTTTCAAAATGTGGCTCTCGCCTTAGCGCCGCGAACATTCGTCTTGACAGCTTGCAATAGTGTCCAAAAAGGCCATGGTTAACGTCACAGAAATGGTATTTTAGAACGGTGTCAGAACGTCATGGCGCAACAGTCACGTTTTTTGTTCGCGGTGTTGAAGTTCCAGTAATGACGTTCTGGCGCGATTCAGGATTGTCAAGACGCAGCAGTAATGGTGATCCGCGGCGCTGAAGTCCCAGGAATGGTGTTCTGGAGCAGTTCCTGATTTTCGAACGATTGTCTTCCAACGGGGTACTTCTCCTCTGAATAAAAATGACTGATTGTAGGAGCCTATGTGAAGGGAATGTGGAGGGAGGCTTGATGAATCTTGGGTGTCCACTGGTCTCGTCCTCCTTCTCGTCCTCGTCCTCCTCCTCCTCCTCCTCACCCTGCTCCTCCTCCCCCCTCTCCAGCGTTCACAAGCACCGCTTCAAGGATGCGAAAGCCACTGTGCCCAACCCGAATCGACAGAGCTATCTATGCCTACCCTCAAGGGTATCAGCAATACACTCCAGCGCTCCAAACTCCATCCCCATCCTCCTCCTGCTCTTCATCCTCCTCCTCCTCCTTCTCCTCCTCCTGCCTTTCCCCCTCCTCTGCCTCCTCTGCCTCCTCTGCCTCCTCCTCCTCCTCCTCCTCCTCCTCCTCCTCCTCCTCCCTCCTCCTCTCCTCCTCCTCCTCCTCCCCCCTCTCCTCCTCCATCCTTCTCCGACTTCATTCTCCGTCCTCCGTCCTCCTCCCTCCTCCGTCCTCCGTCCTCCTCCTCCGTCCTCCTCCTCCTCCTCCTCCTCCTCCTCCTCATCCCACCGTCGGCCGTTCCTCCTCGTCGTGCTCATCCGTCCTCCTGGCGGCACGGACTCGGCGAAAGCAGACTAGAATCCACACGCGACCCGGCCCAACCGCGTGAGGAGCCCACCGAGTCGCAGGGACCCAGTGCAATTCCTTCTCCCCCTCTTCTTCCACTGGAAGCCGCACAAGTAGAGTCGAGCCACGGTATCGCACAGTATCGACAATGCATCGCCGATGCATCAGCGATGCGTCGGCGGCGTCGGCGATGCACCGACGACGTCGGCGTGGAGAAAATCAGATTCCACATCGAACTGCAACGCCGATGCATCGGTGATGCGGCGCGATCTTGCGCCCCGATCTACTCTGGCTCCACATGGGCGGCCCGGGCCCATGAACCCGGACCTCCAGCGGCTCAAAAGCACAGATTCTGCATGTGTTCTGCTGTTGCCACTTTCAGAAGCGAAACTCGGACCCTGGAAGAGCCACAACAACTGATCGGGGAGAAAAGCCAAGCTTGCGGACGACGATCACTGGAGAGGACACACGATGCCAAATAGTTTCCAGACTTCTCACAAATGCTCTCCGGCATGTAAAAAGTATGGTTGGAAGATGCTTATCATTTTTCCTGACACTTTAAACACATTTGAAAGCCACTGGTAGGATTGTTAGGGTGTCCATTGCCATTGCGCTCACGGAGCCAAGCCCGGGGAAGTGGTCGAGGAGCCCGAGCCTCGAGACTCGAACAGATCGTGCGGCATACAATCAAAACGTATATTAAGGACGGGTGATAAGGACGCAAGACCCTTGGAGGCCGAAGTTGGGTTTTTTAGGGCGGGGGGCGGCCAGTGAAAACGGCGAAGGACGGGCCGCAGAGGCAAGGACTCAAGGGCACCCTAGATGAAGGCACGCGTCCTTACTAGGCGCGTTGACTGTACAGGAGGTCTGGGAAGGATGCGCTGCATTCCCAGACCCTCCGCCGTTTTGAGACAATCGAAGACGTGTTCTGTCCAACCTCTGAGATCGAATACCAGAGCAACAGAACCTGCTCAGCAATCGGAGCAGCGAGGCCTGGCATGAAAACGACATGCCCCTGGCAAGGGGTCGGTTGGGCCTGGCGGGCGCGCACTGGGGCAAAGCACGACGCCGGAAGTCGGGGCTTTCAGCCGGTCGCGGTACCAACCTCCCCTCCAGTCCCCCTCTGTCCTGCTCTACGTAGGACCAGACCTCGTTCGTAGGACTACTTGAGACAGTGGCGGTGAGACAACCGCAGCCGAACTCCACTCAAAATGGATACCCAAAGCCCCCGCCCGGGGGTCCAATCGCGCAAATTGTCCGAGCGGCGTCCGGCCAGGGCGACGAGGAGGCCCCCCCGGGGGCCCAAGAGAAAGGCGGCCCCTGGTCTCAACTGGCCCTCCTCCGACGCGTGCAGAGGGAGGTTTGGGGCGCCCGAAAGGGGTACGACAAAAAATGGGCACGGCGCGCCCAACAACAGATGCTGTCCATCATCGAGAGCGGCCGCTGTTGGGCAGGCGAGCTTGTGCCCCAAATGGACAGAAAGCCCGCGGCGACGCAGACAACGAGTCCTGCTCAGCATGAGCAGGAACTGCTGTCGGTCTTCGCACCCCTCCTGTTCGTACCCACTTCGATCGTACCGAGAGGAGGGAAGGGGGGCGAGCGGGCCTTTCGCCTCAGCTCTGCGTCGCTGTGTCTGGGAGGCACGTGCGCGAGGTCCTCGGCCGGGAAGACGCAAGACTCGGGTTCGGGGGGGGACCCGGGTTGGCCTGACGGGGCCACCATGGAAAATGACGAGACCCAACCTGAAACTTGACGCGAGCTCCCGCTGCAGACATCGCACGAAAACTGGACCGTCAAAACTCAGGAACCGCTGGTCAGAAGGCGTCGGCAAACCCAGGTTCCGTCGCACTCAAGTCGTACATGTCCCCGACCCGGTGGCGCCGCCGAACGACACCTCGCTCTCTCCCGGCACCCTCCTCGGGCGACCCCGCCGCGACCGCTGTATGCGGCGCCGTGCGCACGCGCAGCGGCGAAACGCACCGCGTCTCACGCGAGGAAAGAAAGCCCCGACCTTGCGTGCGGCAGGTTCGTGTCGTGCTGACTTCGGCGTTGGCTTCTGACACCGCGGGGCTCGTTCCACCCTGGACGATCGACCGCTTCCGCGGCGTCAGATCGTTCAACCAGGACCGATCCTGGGTCGCCAGCGGCGTTCCACCTTGCAAGCCTGCGGCGGGGCCGCCGCCAAGCCGACACGACGCGAACCTACCGTAGTTGGGCGTGGCTTAATGGGGGGGGTCGTCAATGAGGGGGGGTCAGAAATGGCCCCCTTTCGTGCCCCTTTCGGCCCCTCTGGAGTCCCAGGGGGCTCGTTCAGGTGCCGTTTGGGTACCCTTTCGGAGCACCCTCGCCACCCCTCGGGGATGGACAGAACCCCCTTTAGTAAAACGTGGTTTAGTGAAAACGACCTGAGGCCCAAACCTGGCGGGCGCAAGCCTGGAAAATAACGGCCACGGCGCCCTCTCGAGAACCGAAAACGGACAATTCACTAATCGACGTGTCACTGTTGGGGGTTCTGTCCACCCCCGAACCCCCCCACTTATGACCCCCCATTGCGCACCGTCCAACGTAGCGACCTTCCGCTGGCCGCCGGCGTGCCACACCGCGCAGAGGAGAGGGCGCCCGCGCGCGACCCTGCGCGGGAAACCTGCGCGCGAGTGTCGGCGCAGTCGGCCCCGTTTTCTCTTCCGTCCTCCTCCTCCTCCTCTCCTCCTCCCTCCTCCTCCCTCACTCCTCCTCCTCCTCCCTGCTCCTCCTCCTCCTCATCCCCCTCCTCCTCCTCCTCCTCCTCCTCCTCCTCCTCCTCCTCCTCCTCCTCCCTCCTCCTCGCTCACGGGTTTGCCGGAGCAATCCGCCAGGTGCACGCCCGGAGGCGGCCGTCCAGGACTACGCGGCGGCGTCCCGACGTGTCGAGGACTTCTGAAGCCTCCCACGATTGCGGTCCACGGCGTGTTGGACCCCATCTGCGAGGCCTGCAGATGCGAGGCCAGGATTTCTTCCAGCTCCACCGCCCAGGGAACACCGCTCTCCCACGACCCCAGGGGGGCGGCAAATCTCAGATCTGGAGTCTCTATCTGGCCCCCTTCGACGCTCGAGTACGCGTACGCATGCATGTCCACCGCCCCCCAGGGCCCTGGGGGATCGGACACCCGGGCGGTGGAGACGTGCCCAGGCACCCTCCGCTGCGAGTCCTACTGCATCCGGCGATCCTCGGGGCGCCTGTCGGCGCCCGCGTGTGCCCGTCCACCGATGCCCTTCAGGTACGATGCGGGCGGCGCAACGAGGGCCGGCACGAGCTGTGCGCTATCGGTCTGGCATTAGGTCGGGCATGTCCCCCTACAGGCCGATTTTCGATAATTTCTTTTTAACTCAAAGCATGCCCAAAAATTGTTAAACATACTCGAACAATCGTCCCCAGACTTGTTTAGGACTGTGGTTGGAGATTCCTCCTGCAGAGGGACAGGCCCGACTTAGGTCTAGCACAGAGCATTGGGCTAACGCATGGGGCTAGCACACTTCCTGCGGGACCATCGAAGCCTGCGGCCCCAGCACCCACGACCGCTCCCCACAGGCAGCTTTGCGTCCGTGATCCACCTGTGACTGCCGCGAGGCCAGGACAAACAAAAACGCTCCCCGGAGGCCGAAAGCAAGGATAAAGGCCGCGATTGAACACATCAGCTTAGGCTGACTCTGGATCCACTACCTCCCCGGGCCCAGGAACCCGGGCACCCGACATCACCACGTTTTCACACCGGGCGGGAGGGTGTATTGCAGCAGCGCTGACACATCTTGGGTTTGTCCTGGTCCTCCTCCTCCTCCTCCGCCTCCTCCTCCGCCTCCTCCTCCTCCCCCTCCCCCTCCCCGTTCTCCTCCTCCTCCTCCTCCTCCTCCTCCTCCTCCTCCTCCTCCTTCCCCTCATCCTCCTCCTCCTCCTCCTCCTCCTCCTCCTCCTCCTCCTCCTCCTCCTCCTCCTCCTCCTCCTCCTCCTCCACACTGGGACCGTTTTTCCCATCGTGGGTCGTGTTCTTGAAAGTCCCGGAGGCCCGGCGAGGGCACTCCCCGGGGCCCGCAGCGGCAGGCGGAACGACTGTGGTGACTTTGTTCACGACGCGAGCACGTCTGGGCATACCGTCGGGGCGTTGAACCGAGGAACTCTAAACAAGGAACGAGGCCCCTTTCTCCCACAAGTTGAACTTCGATTTCCCATGGAAAACCTCAGGAAAACCGGAGACAAACTGCAGAACAATCAAGGAACACCGAGCCCCTCCCCAACGAAAAGGGTTCCTTCTTCAGGGCCCCGACTGTAGATCCCAGCCTCGGGAACTGAAGGCCTCCTACGTGGAGTCGGAGCATCGCGCCGCATGGCCGATGCAACGACGACGCATCGACGATACGTCGGCGACGTCGGCGGTTCATCGGCGACGCCGGTGTGGAGAAAATCGGGCTCCACGTAGAACCGCATCGCCGACGCATCGGCGGTGCGGCGTGCGGCACGATCCTCCGACCACCCCTTCTACTCAGACCCCATCTGCAACCGTTCCAATAACGGGCAAACGCTTCAGTAACCGTGGAAGCGTTTCCGTAACAAATGGGATCGCTCCAATAGCAAAGGGAATTGCGTCGGCAACCGCGCCCATCCGCTTCAATCACAAGAACAATCGATTCAGCATCGGGCCGCGTCCGCCCCAGTAGCAAAACAGGTCGTTTCAGCAACGCGTCGCGTTCAATCCCAGCCTCGGAGTCGACGACCTCCTTTCTAGAAGAAGAAACAAACGCCGTAAACATAAACTTTTGGCGCTGCACGCGGGTTTCTTGGATCCGCGCTGGACCCCCCTCCCTGGCGCGCGGGGCGCGCCGGGGTTGGCGCAAGAGGCGCCGCCAGGGGTGCCCAGGCGCGGATCCGAGAAATCCGCGCGGAGCGCCAGAAGTTCATGCTTATGGCGCTCCTTCTTCTTCGAGTAACGCGCCGCGTGACATCCCAGCCTCGGAGTCGACGGCCTCCTTTTTTCTTCCCGCCAAGAAACGCCCGCGCGCGAGGCCAGGCACGATTCGGGCGACCCCGCGGCCGACCGGCGACCGCGCGGCCGCGGCCGACCGGCGACCGGCGACCCGCGCGGGGCATGTCCCCCTACAGGCGGATTTTGGACGAAACATTACAGTAAAGAAATAGTTAAAGAAGACCCCAAAATGGTCAACAAAAACTTGAAAAATCGTCCCCTGACCATAGATTGGTGGACTATTTTTGGACATTCCCCCTGTAGAGGGACGTGCCCGACTTGACCCTGGGTAAGAGTGACCATTGGTGCGCGGCTGGAGAGGGGGCACGCAGGGTGGTCAAACCCGAGCGCGCAAGCCGCTGCTGCCGCTTTGCGCTCGGCGATCGGGGGGCCCTGTTGGGCCCGCACCGGAGGTCACTCTGGCGAGAGGTCATGGGACGCACAGAGGTTATGTTGCATCCTCGGGGGTCCTTGTCTGTCCCGTCGCGGCCCTGTCCGCGTCGAATCCGTGTCGAATCCATGTCGGACGCGTCGGATCCGTGTCGAATCCGTGTCGAATCCGCGTCGAATCCACTCCAAATCCGCGTCGAGTCCGCATCGAGCACGCGTCGGGCCCCCCAAAAGACACCGATTTTGGGACAGGCGAGGTCCCCCGAAGATGCAACATAACAGAGGCATACTAATGCCATATGTCCTCCTTGGAGGCGCGCGTCCGACCCGCACATAAAGTCTATCCCATCATCCGTCTCGTAGTATACGATTTCCCGGGCGGTGTGGCCAGATAGCGCCCGCCACGACGCATAGATTAGAAGGTTTCTCGGTGCGCGCGTCGCCCCTGGGGGGCGACGCACGTATAGTATCAAGTGTGTTGGGGTGACGCCGAGGTCACTCTTACGTCTGGTCGACTCTCCCCCTCCGAAGGAGGAAGAGGAGGAGGGGATGGAGGAGGGGGAGGAGGAGGAGGAGGAGGAGGAGGAGGAGGAGGAGGAGGAGGGGGAGGAAGAGGAGGGGGAGGAGAAGGAGGAGGAGGAGGAGGAGGAGAACGAGGAGTAGGACAACTGATAATGATAATCATAGCAACATTAAGACTACCCTCCGACCCCCCCTCGCCGCTCCAGCGACCTGCGGCCCGCGGGGGGCGCCGCCGCCGCGCCGGCACGGCACGGGCCAACCCTCGGAAGAGGAGGAGGAGGAGGGGGAAGAGGGGAAGAGGGGGGAGGAGATGAAGGAGGAGGAGGAGGAGCAGGAGGAGGAGCAGGAGGAGGAGGGAGGATATGGAGGATATGGAGGAGGAGGAGGAGGAGGAGGAGGAGGAGGAGGAGGAGGAGGGTACCCCTACCGCTGCCCTTCGCCCGCTGCGTGTTCCCCCCCTGCTTGGGGCTCGCTGGGACGCCCTCGTCGCCACGGCCAGCTTCGCCTCGGCGAACCCTCGTCGGGACGCACCCGCGGGAGAGGTCAGGGGCGCAGCGGTGTGCGGGCATACCTTTTTGGGGGGGGCCTCTCCAGGCAGCACGGGCCCGCCCACCGAGCTCCGACGCTGCGAGCAGAGCTGCGGCAGCTCGAGAGCTCAGGACCCCGCGGGGCCCGACACGAGGCAGAAGCTCGGCGAACTGCGCAAGAGTGCCCCTGGGCAGGAGTGGCCTTTAGTGCGCGGATTAAGCGGGCACAAGGCGGCCAAGTCCAAGCACGCGAGCAGCCACTGTCGCTTCGCTCGCGCGCAGCGAACGGGGGGACCCGGTGAACCCGCACCAAAGGTCACTCTGGCGAAGGGTCACTCTTAAGTGAAATAGGCAGAATCGCCCGTGCTGGAAAAGCTGCAACGCCCGGATCTCCGGGACCGTAAGAGGGGGGGATGGAGGGCCCAGAATCGAAGCGATGAGTCGCATCGGCGACCGGAATTCCTCGGAGCGGCGGAGACCGGCAGCCGAGCCTGGAGAGGCCGAGTCGGCGAAAATCGGCAGGCCAGCAAGCCTCCGCGGGGACACCGGCATCCACGTCGGCATCCGAAGACGAACCGAATCGG